ACAAACTATATAAAAAGTCCTTTGAATTTAAGACAACTCTTATCTGAGAACTATTAGTCATATGTCAACATAGAAATATATTATAACAAGATTATGGAGAAGAAAGCAGATAATTTCTAAATTATTAGAAGAGTCTACTTATGTTTTATAACAACAATGCCAATAATAGAATGAGAGGTCGCTAAGTATGGGTCTAGAGATAAAGGCTTCCCCGGCATTCTTTCATTTCATCCTTAGAGCAATGTGGAGTGATATTTATTTTTGACACTTAAGGAAGAAGGAGATTGAAGCACAATAAATACAGAAGCTTCTCATAGTCACAAAGAAGGAAAATATATACCAAGATTCACAGTCATAATTCCAGCTGTGTGCTCAACCTTTATTCTCTATTTCTTTTCAAGAAATTCTTTTAAAAATTTATTTTAACAAATTTTTAAGTTATGCAAAAATGCAAAATGTTAATGTAACAAAACTCATATTCCAACACCACACACTAAAATTAACCACTATTAATTATTTTTATTTGCTTTAAGTTTTATTCTAAGGAAATAATGTATTGACAAATAAGTAAATGGTCTCTTTACCATCACCTAGTATCTCCTTCTTCCCTTCCCTAGAATAAGAAAACTTATGTGATACTTCTCATCACTTTAATTATTTTACATATAACATAAATATATTGCTTTTATTCTTCTGAAGTTCTTACTGGTTGACAATGAGTACACTGCTAATTCTCCTCATGGCCACTTTTATTGCCTTAGCATTTGAAGAGAATACTTATTACACAAACTGAATGGCTCTTTCTAGAAAATACATAAGAAGCAAAAATATGTCACATAGGTAACAATAGGAAGCATTCTTTGGACTAATGGAGATATCAGTGGAGACAATGGGAAGACAACTAATTATCTATTTGAACAAGGTAAATGATAAGTACACTCCTTTGCAAAATTATCAAAATGTTTCTCATCTTTTCTTCTTAGAAATGTATGAATGAATAGAACATCAAAGTTATGCCAAGGGGCTGGGGATGTGGCTCAAGTGGTAACGCGCTCACCTGGCATGCGTGGGGCGCTGGACTGGATTCGATTCTCAGCACCACATAAAATAAAGATGTTATGTCCACCGAAAACTGAAAAATAAATATTAAAAAATTCTCTCTCTCTCTCTCTCAAAAAAAAAAGTCATGCCAAATCTAATTTTATAGTCCACCATAATACATAATGGCAAATGGAAAAATAAAGGTTACGTGAAATTGTCTATCCCTATTCTTTGCTCAAAAATGACAAAATGTGACTATAAATAAAAATCTCATAAGGACTAATATCTCATATTTCATTACCATAATCTAAGAGAAGTTTCACTAGAACATTTACCAGCAGAAAGGTGAATAAAAAAAAAAAACTGGGAATTTATCTGAAAGCCAGTAAAGTAGAAGTTCAAAATAAAATTATTTCTGTTCAATATTTCCTCACTTAATTACAAGAATTTTTTTCTTTGCTTTTCAGTGCTTTGCTAAGTGAAACTACACAAGCGAGCTTTCTCTAGGTCTGTCTAGCTGCAGAAATGCTTTACCACAACATTCTATCAATGGGAGGACTACTACTACTTAACAGAACAATTTAAATGATGGTTCCATATCCCTTGCAATATTGATGTCTTAAAGAAGGGTTGACTGGTGCTTACGACTAAAATATTTCATCTTCTGTGAGGATTGTGCTATCTCCTGGGAGATTTCAACATGAATATTTCTACAATTTGCAAAGCCTTTGCACTCCAATAAATGCAAAATATGAGTCTTGGAAAATACTTTCAGGTCAGAGTGGCTATGATAAATAAAATTATATAAAACAAAAGCAAAGGGATATAAATTTAATTTGAAGAGGCCTCAAGTATAATTTTACATGCACAGGGTAATTATAACATGCATAGTTATATAATGCCACAGACTATCCTATGGTGAAAATACACTTCTCAATCCATGTACTGAAATTTTGTAACAACTTCAAGCTTCATTTTTCTTGTAATACAAATGGGACTAATACAACTTGTCACCTACTTCATAAGGAATATTATGAGGATTCATGAAATCATTAAATGAAGAGTCTCCAAGTGCTTAATTTATTCCCTGGCAAAAACTCAAAATTCCATTCACCTTTTCAGAGTCGTGGAACATATTTTGTTCACAAAGAGTTAATACACCTGCTTAACTTTCTTACATTCATCCAGAAACTCTAGTACTGATGTGTAGTATCTAAATAGGACTATTTACAATGTTATATGATATACTATGATAATATGTAAAATTGCTTTGTAAGCAAATGAAAATACAACATTTCCCTAGAAAACTTTTTAAACTGTAACTCTAAAAATCATTAGGATGATAACATATTTGTTTTATTTCATGGATGGCAAAGTGAATTTTAAATAGCCATATGTGTGATAATTAATAAATAAACAAGTAGACCCTTGGATATACCATTAAAATGAACAAATTATACATGAGCAATTTTATGTCTTGTGATCAAAACCATTAGACTACTCTTGTCTTAACTGACAACGATCTTTAACTGAGAACAATTGGAAAGGTGTTTTGATGCATTTAAAACCTATCATCAAATTCCAAGCAGGATAACACAGTCTGTATCACCTCATGTCCTTCTCATCATCTTTTAAAATAAATCCTCAGTCTTTGTATACTAAACATCTTGACAACATGAAAGTGCACAGTTATTGAGAGTTATTCAGATGCAATGATTATGAACATTTAATGATCCCGTTTTATTGAGTACTTGTTTGTCAATACACTGAGAACTTTCATGGAAGGGCAATGATACCATGGATGAATAGGGCATTCTTCCCAGCACATTTCATGCTAGAATACATGACCAGAGGCTTCAGAGCCAATGGGAATGTGAGCCCAGAGGACCCCCTCATGTATGCTCTTATCACAATGCCACCCTACCTTTTTCAGGAAGTTTAAATAAAGATAATATTTAAATCTTTTTTTTTCCAAAAGAAGATATGTTGTTCATAAACTTAATGCAGAGTGGCAACTGAACCATTTTTTTCAAGAAAAACAAAAATTTTTTATATTTGATGTTGATAAGAGAAATAGAAGTTTTAAAAAGGAAAATAGATTAACTCTGGTAAAAGACTTAAAACACAGAGCCAAAATGAAGAGCAGATGGGAGAAATGCTATTTATAGTCACACAAAAATATTTTATAGGAAAATACCATAAATGTGACATTAATTATTTGATTCAAAATGTGACAGTCAACTTCCAATTAAACAAACATTTCATAAAATAAATTCACCTGTGCTGTCTGAGGCTCTGAGAAATATTTGGAACACATACAGGTAGATAAAAAGGTTGTTGAAAATAAAATTATCTTTTTCACCAAAAAGCCTTTTTATTTCTGAAATTGACCTAATTTATACATTCTTGATTTAAATATAAAATGTTTTATACATGGGAATAAATCTATTCAAAATGAAGTAGATTTTGAGATATTAATAGTTACTAAATTAATAATAAAGGTGAAACTCCTTCAAACACACCAGCTTTTCTGTCTACTACCCCCAAATATAAATGAATATATTTTTTTAAAAATGTACAATCAAATATGTTCAAATAAGTCAAATGGCTTCTTTATTCTCTATATCTCTAACTTATGAGATAGAATGCACTAATAGGTTATATAGCAAGATTCTAGTGTAGTCCTGCCATTCCTATAAGGTCTTAGTATAAGTAAGGAAAGCTTTGCTCTTAATATAAGTAAGGAAAGCTTTGCTCTTAGAACTCTCCTATTTGAAAAAGAGAGGGCAGAATAATTATTAGGAAAAAAATTAGGTTTCAACATAGGTAAAGTGATCAATTATTCTCAAGTTCATGTTTTTTGAACTTTGTTTTGAATATTTTCAAAAAACTGATTGATTGGGGCTGGAGTTGTGGCTCAGTGGTGGAGCGCTGCCTTAGCAAGTGTGAGGCCCTGGGTTCGATGCTCAGCACCACATACAAATAAAGGTATTGTGTGCAACTACAACTAAAAAATAAATAAATATTAGAAAGAAAAATTGATCAATGCTGCATTTTTATTTAACATCTTTAAGGCTCCTTTTTTCTTCATTTAATATATCTACACATCTGATTATTTTATAGATTCATGCTATTGTTATTATTATTTTATTTTTGGTACAGGGGTTTGATCCCAGGGGTGCTTAACAACTGAGCCACATCCCCAACCCTTTTTATATTTTTATTGTTGTTGTTTTGAGACAGGGTCTTACTAATTTGTTTAGGACCTCACTAAGTTGCTAGGGCTGGCTTTGAACTCATGATCCTCCTGCCTTGGCCTCCCGAGCCTCTGGGATTACAGGAGTGAACAACCACACCTGGCTGCTATTGCCACTGCAATAATGGAATGGTATTGTGAACAGAAGGGTGTTAATATCCAGCTTCAACAGCCATAACATAGAGAATAAAGAGAATTCTTATTTTTATACTTTTAAGTGGCTGCTACTAGTTATTCACAGATACACATATGTTCAGCAGCATGGCACAAAGTCAAACAGAGGGAAAGGAAGACTAGATTCTATATTCAAAGATGAAGAGTACCCCCAAATTACATTAAGGACTCTTCCCTGACACCTTTCCAACCCAAATCCTGGTCCTCACTATAGGTTATCATAGCATCTACTCCAAGACCATAGTCCCATTTATTATCATATCATTCATGATTATTTTATCAATGCCTGTTTTTGTTTTTTTTTTTACTAAACTAGCTGTTGGGAGTCGCCCCGGCTCCAAAGACTAACTTCCCCATCCCCCAAGAAGAGCCATCCAATGGTGAGCCCTGCTGGCTCACCTGATCCTTACCCACCAATCAGACTAGCCCTGCTGCTCACCTGATCCTTACCCATCAATAAAAAAGCACCCCATGCCAACTGTCAAACCACCCCCGGCTCTATAAATATGCAGAGCTGTTCCTCAATAAACTGGCATTTTCTCCAATGGCAAGACTTGATGGTTCTTTCACTAGCAGTAAAGGTCTGTTTTTTATTTCTACTTCCAGTGTCTAATACAGTCAGTATTGAACTATAGGCACAGCATATTTATTAATTTAAAGAACAGAATATCTAGAATTTCTAGTAATCTCATTTTCTTAATTTTATCACCAAAATTTGCCATTTATTCTATCTAAAAATAACAAATTATGTAAAAGTTAAATAAATGGATAAAGAAACATAATATTATGAACTATATTAATAAAGACTATTCTATTCTACTGGCTAGGTGTGTAGTTTAGTGGAAGAGCATTCTCTTTGCACACACAAAGCTGGTTCCATCCTCAGCACTGCAAAACAAACAAACAACTAAATAAAGACAATTCCATGTATTTATCTACCTTTATACTGCTGTATTTATATCTATCTATATTCTGTTTTTAAAAAAGAAGCAGTATGAAGGTATAAACTTCTCTTTTGATAATGATTTTTCTCTTTTTAATACCAATTTCCAAAAAGAAAATCATATTTATTGAGCTCAATAGTTCATTCAGGTCTTGTTTCTGACAATTAGCTTGGGGAGTTTTCTCTAACAACCCTTTTGATTCAAACAAGTTCTTTTCCCTTCATAAGGAAATATTCTACTATACCCTATATATTTTTGTAGGCTAAGAAATAAAATTACAAAAAATGTTCAATGCATAGTCCGGTATATATAATTATTATCCCAAACAAATTAATAAGATCAACCCTGTATCTAATGAGACCTCTTCACCTCAGTCATACAGACTTAATTTTTTATATCTAAAAATCAGAAAATGAAATCACCATGCTGACTTAAGAAAATGTTTATATGCATGGAAGTGTATTGGAGATTGTACATAAATCAAGCTATATATCCTCTCCATATCTTATCTATGATTTCTTCCTTCTTAGGATGACAAACTTGTTCCAAGACAGCTCCAGGTTTGCATGGATCTTGACAGAAAAATCCTGAAATGAAGATTATGTCTCCCTCAGATGGCTTCTGCTGGTGAATCCCTTTGATCATATCTCCGATCTGCTTCATAGTGGTCAAGCAAGGCCAATTTTCCAACTTAATAGGAGGAAATAAAAGCCTATGGGATTGAGAAGCAAGTATTACTGAAAGGTAAGACAATATTCCCCAAGAGGTTAAAAAAAATATCTTCCACCAAAGTCTCTATTTATCTTACAAGATTATATGATTAATAAAATGTTTGCCCTTTTCTATATAGTTCCACCAGAGAACTGAGCCATTTTAAGCACATACAAGAATACAATATTTGTTATGTGATTTTATTTTTTATTTTTTAAAATATGTCATATCTAGTTTTAAGATGTTCTGGGAAGGAGCTAGGAAGAGTCAATTATATAGTAAGAATATGCCACCCCCGACTCATCTCTTGGCTTTATTTTCAAAGAAATGGAACTGTTTTCCAGGTACAACATGCTTGGCTTAAAACAACTGACAGTTCTGTATGATAATATTCATTTGGCTAATCGGAACCTTTGCTTAGATGACTGTTGTTGATGGAAAGCAGAGATTCAGTGTACCTCAAATCATTTCATGTCTGTGACCTATGTTGTTCACTGCTGCTCTCTCAAGAGAGAGTGAGATGCATGTTAGATATCCACGTCATTGGAATTTATTGTGCAGGCCCCCAAATAGGGCAGGGTGCAATATCAAGTGGTCTGAATTCTGTGCTATTCTACTCACCAAGCAGGAGTCTTTCTCCTTAAATTTTGAACTCCTGACTCCCAAAAGTAATTAAGATTGGCCTTCAAAACTTCATAGAGGAGTTGGTTTAAAGGAGTTAATAAACCTTATTTCCAGCCAGCATAGACTTGAGCTCTCCATACTTCACAGGCAATATATTCTATCTATTCATTATCTCCAGTGAAAATGATAAAAAATTAATTGATAATTTATATCATAAAAATATATATTCACTATATTTCTTTCACATTGTATTCTAAAATACATTAGTATTTAAAACGTTCCTAGTAAGCCAGAGAGTACTTGTATGAACATTTGTCACATACAATATTTAACAGATGTCTGATTTCACTGTTTCTATTACTAGAGAATCAGCAATGATCTGGTGGATAGTGCAATATACCAGGAGCCAGAAAACCTAGAGTCTAGTTCTTGGCTCTACTACTGACTATTAAATAACACCAAACAATTCCTGAATCATCTGTGCCTCATTTTATTCATCTTCAAGGCATAGGGGAAATGTTTTTCCTCCTGTAAAGTGTTATGGAGGCATGGTTAGCAGTTCAAAAAATTGGCTTTAAAATTTCATGCCTAATGTCAGGATGGTGGTCAAAAATTTGTATTTTCATTTATTTAGATATTGAAATTGAGGAGCAAGTCAGTCCTGAAAGACTGTCAGGATCACACTTATAGGAACAGACAAGAAAAACTGTGGTCTGGCAATTCTCCCTGAGTGAGGAAGTCACCACTTGTCTGAACAGAAAAGCAAGCATTTGTGCCAGTAACTATTTGATGATGTCCCAACATACTCTGGTACTTGCACTCCTGCAGAGAATGTTTTCTCCTGGAACCCTCTTCCTGAAGCAGGAACTTTCAGATTAAAGGTGAAATGTTATGGTTTATATATGAGATGTCCCCCAGTAGTTCATATATGAGAAAATGCAAGAATGTTCAGAGGTAAAATGATTATATTATGACAGCTATTAACTAATCAGTGAATTGATCCACTGGTATAGATTAACTGGGTATAATTGTAAGCAGTTAGGGTGTAGATCACTAGAAGCATGCCTCTGAGGGTTTATATTTTGTCCCTGGTGAAATGAGATCTCTCTCTCTCTCTCTCTCTCTCTCTCTCTCTCTCTCTCTCTCTCTCTCTCTCCTGTTTCCCATATTGTTTTAGTTACCTTTTCCATTGCTGTGACTAAAAAAACCAACAAGAACAATTAGAGGGGGAAAAGTTTATTTAGTGGCTCATAGTTTTAGGTCTTGGTCCATAGACAGCCAGCTATATTCCTTGGGGTCAAGGCAGAACATCATGGTAGAAGAGTGTGATGGAGCAAAGCAGCTCCCATAATGATCAGGAAGCAGAGAGAAACTCCAGTAGCAAGATACATACCAAATATATACTCCAAAGACATCTGGGACCCGCTTCCATCAGCCACACCCTAACCTCCTTCAGTTACACCTCAGTTAATCATATTATGGAATTAATTCACTAATTGGTTTAAGACTCTCATAACCCCATCTAAACCTTCTTGCATTGTCTCACACATGAGCTTTTGGGGGGCACCTCACATCCACATCATAACACATGTCCTGAGTTCAGCCCTGGTGTTCTGCCTCAGGTGTGTCCTAGAACTATGGAATCAGTGAACCATGGATTGAATTTCTGAAATCATGAGCCAAAATAATCTTTTCTTTCCCTACATTGTTCTTGTCAGGTGTTTTTGTCACAGTGATAGAAAGCTAACTGAAATACTCAGCAATGAACAATATGTTCTTCACATGGTAAGCTACAATTCTTTGAAAATTCAAATTCTTTGTCACATGTTGTTGATGTGATAGCAGTAAAAGGAAGATGAACAAGTAGAGAATTTTCAATAGATAAATGAGAGAATTAAAATAATGAAACGATTCTGTTAGCTGGTAACCTTGTATAGCGGATGTTGTGATAAAGCAACATGAAAGAAACTTGCAATCTTCTTATTCCTAAATGGGGCTCTCAAGAATAAAATTAGGTGCAGTGATTTTCAGCCTCACCTGAGAACCACCTGGAGAAGATTAAAAAACATGAACATGCCATACTCAAGGTCAACTAGACAAGAAATTCTAGAAATAAGTCCCGCATCTTGGTGTTATTAAAGTTGTATAGGTGATTATAATGTGCATCCAAAGTTGAATTCCCCTAATGTGGTACAACCTACAGCAACTGAAAGTAGAAATTCATTCCTGACTGCTGAGTCACAAAACATCTCTTCTTTCTTTTAAAAGAGCTGAATCCTTAAAATATGGAAAACAGCTATTCCTAAAGCTCTTAACGATTAACAGCTAAGCCAATGTTTATTGACCTATTGCAGAGAAGAGTACAATGCAAAGATTCAGCTTTTCACTCACCCGAATCTATATTATTCTTTGAAACACATGCATGTGAACTTGAATACTTCCACTCCCGAGGCTATACACACAAACTAAATATTACTTTTAAAGCTATGGCATTAAAGTCCTGAAAGGAAGCTTTCTACTCTAATTATTGATTTTTTTTTGCCATCAAAAGAGTTATTCTTTTTGATTAGGGGCCTACATGGTAACCTGAATCCAGTGGCCTATATTCATAGCTCATATCCATTATTTATTCAATGAAATACTAGTATCATCTTGGAAACATCCCCAAATCTACTTATAACTGCCACACATTGATAAAGGGTGTCACATGCAGACTTTCTTTTCGGTAGATGTATCTACTGATTTTCTAGTTATCTACTATAAACACCACTTTGATTTTTAAAGAGTAAGAGCACTTTATTCAGTTACTTAAGATTTCTGTTTTGGTGTTTTTCCCCCCTAGCAGATTCTAAAAATGAGTTATCACATTATTTGCAACAGAGTTGAATCCCTGATCAGAGAGTAAAACTTGATTGGAAGGCAGCTTAATAACCCTATAAAATTCAGTTGAGGAATCTTTGAAAAGATGCCATCCTTTTCTCTTTTCCTGAGCTGGATTCTTAAAATTGAGTAAATAAATAAATTTCACAGGACAAATCATGCCATTTTAAACAAGCCCAAATATTTGTATGAGAATGTATTTATACTATTTTCTGGGAAGAGAATCTTCACTTTTTAAAGGAAGACATACATATACACAGAATGGTTCATAATTCTTGTTACTAATGTTCTAAAATTTCTCAGGATCATTTGCTTTGCTCCCCCATGGAAATGGTTTGCATAACTCATGCTTTCAGTCAAATGCCATCGATTTTAATTATTACTATGAAAATATAAAATAAAATGATACATTTACTGCAGATGTTTTTAATTATGTCATATGTTACAGAGGATGTATGGAAGCCATATTTTCTTCTTGTGTCACTAGGTTATTTTAATTTTATTTTATTCACGTTATTTGTTTATTGCCTTTCAAAGGCAAGCTCAACCTTTTGTATTCTGCTTTCTGACTCTGAGAGTGATGGTTTACAAAGTGTTTGCCAGGGCTCTTGACAATTCACTTTCTGCTGACATTTGACCTGGGCACCAGGCAGCAGTTCTGAAGGTAGGACAAAGAAGGAAAAGATTTCTTTTTGTCTCTCATTTCCTGCTTCTTTACTGTAGGGGAGGACAGGTGCAGCTCCAGCCAACAGCTCATTTCAGCATTTCTATTATCACCTGACACACACCCTTCAGAAGTCTAAGCATCTGCCCCCAGCAGTAACACTCCTCCATATCAGAGATACCAACATCAGTGGTACAATATCACTTTCCAAATTAATTCTATATGTCCTATTTTTGCATTTTGTCCCTCAAGTTCTAGAGAGAGAAGCTGGTTCCTGCAGTTACTAATATCTGTGTTACTTTAGCATCAGCTTTTTTTTTTTTCTGTTCCAGGCTTTGAATACCTATGTGACTAATGCTGTGCCAAATCCTTTATATTAGAAAATACCAACAACAACTTCAAGGTCTCCAACAAAACAATGATTAATATATTATGAATTGTGTAACTTATGTTTCTGTCTTCACAGTGATCTATTGCTGTAAAAACATTTAATTAAATAATGCTAACAATTAGTATTAATTTGTGGAATAACACACTGGTTTTTGCACAAAGGTCAAAAGCAAAGAGTAAGTGAAAGGTATGCAATTCTAACTAGTAGGTGAGGAACATGAAGTTCAATACAAGACATTGACTTGGATTTTCCAGGGAAGAGTTTCATAGGACCCTAATGGTGAAAACCACATGACCAATTATACCTGGAGTGATACATGTCAGGACCAACTATATCATTTCCAGGTCCCAGAGTAAAATGAAATACTGGGTTTGTTGTTAAAAATAAGTACTGAATTTGCATTTCTCTGACTGCTAGAGATGGTGAGCAATTTTTCATGTACTTGTTGATTGATTGTATGTCCTCCTCTGAGAAGTGTCTGTTCAGGTCCTTGGCCCATTTGTTGATTGGGTTGTTTGTTATCTTACTGTCTAATTTTTTGAGTTCTTTGTATACTCTGGATATTAGGGCTCTATCTGAAGTGTGAGGAGTAAAGATTTGTTCCCAGGATGTAGGCTCCCTATTTACCTCTCTTATTGTTTCTTTTGCTGAGAAAAAACTTTTTAGTTTGAGTAAGTCCCATTTGTTGATTCTAGTTATTAACTTCTGTGCTATGAGTGTCCTATTGAGGAATTTGGAGCCCGACCCCACCGAATGTAGATCGTAGCCAACTTTTTCTTCTATCAGATGGCGTGTCTCTGATTTGATATCAAGCTCCTTCATCCATTTTGAATTAACTTTTGTGCATGGTGAGAGAAAGGGATTCAGTTTCATTTTGTTGCATATGGATTTCCAGTTTTCCCAGCACCATTTGTTGAAGATGCTATCCTTCCTCCATTGCATGCTTTTAGCCCCTTTATCAAATATAAGATAGTTGTAGTTTTGTGGATTGGTTTCTGTGTCCTCTATTCTGTACCATTGGTCCACCCGCCTGTTTTGGTACCAGTACCATGCTGTTTTTGTTACTATTGCTCTGTAGTATAGTTTGAAGTCTGGTATCGCTATACCGCCTGATTCACACTTCCTGCTTAGCATTGTTTTTGCTATTCTGGGTCTTTTATTTTTCCATATGAATTTCATGATTGCTTTCTCTATTTCTACAAGAAATGCCGTTGGGATTTTGATTGGCATTGCATTAAACGTATAGAGAACTTTTGGTAATATCGCCATTTTGATGATGTTAGTTCTGCCTATCCATGAACAGGGTATATTTTTCCATCTTCTAAGATCTTCTTCGATTTCTCTCTTTAGGGTTCTGTAGTTTTCATTGTATAAGTCTTTCACCTCTTTTGTTAGGTTGATTCCCAAGTATTTTATTTTTTTTGAAGATATTGTGAATGGAGTGTTTGTCCTCATTTCCATTTCAGAGGATTTGTCACTGATATACAGGAATGCCTTTGATTTATGAGTGTTGATTTTATATCCTGCCACTTTGCTGAATTCATTTATTAGCTCTAATAGTTTCTTTGTAGACACTTTTGGGTCTGCTAGGTATAGAATCATGTCTTCTGCAAATAGTGATAATGTAAGTTCTTCTTTTCCTATTTTTATGCCTTTAATTTCTTTTGTCTGTCTAATTGCTCTGGCCAGTGTTTCGAGAACTATTTTGAACAGAAGTGGTGAGAGAGGGCATCCCTGTCTTGTTCCAGATTTTAGAGGGAATGCCTTCAATTTTTCTC